GGGGGGGGGGGGGGGGGCAAATTGCTCTTTACTCCATATTTAATTTTGCAGTGGACAAGAATCTGTATAGGGATGTCAATGGGTACGGGTTAACGGGTCTTGGGATTCAGAATCGTTTAATTCAGGTATGAGTTAGGGCGGGTCTGAGTCTAAACTGAACTAGGTTGGGGCGGGTCAGGATTTTATATATTTTTTATGGGTCGGATCTCGGGTCTAGACAAACCCGCCCCAAAACCGACCCGTTGTCATTCCTAAATCTGTATTTTATGTTTCAGGTGGACGTACAAACATAAATATAATTGAGAAATAAATAGGGGTTTTTGTGCATGAATCCCTAACCAACCATCTCTATTATTCTAGGTTTAGGGGCTATATCTCTTTCACCAATAAGCCCACCCCTTTAATATATTATAAATAAAGGAAAAATTCATGTATATGACAAACAAATAGGTTAAGATGTACCAAAAATAAATGCTATATAGTATCTTTATCTCTTATGATTTGAGATATATAGATGAAAAATAGGAGATTGATGTTGGAGGGATTCTACCCGATTATGTTTCAATTTTTTTGATGATTAATTGAAAAATATAGTTTGAAAGTTAAAGAAAAATATTAAAAATTAATAATTGCAAAAATGTCATTAGGATTTCTTAAGTTGCCCTAACGTTTATTTCTTATATGTATTAAGATGTTAGTATTGGTGTTAGTATTAGCATTAGCATTAGTATTAGTATTAGTATTAGTATTAGTATTAGTATTAATATTAGTATTAGTATTAGTATTAATATTAGTATTAGTATTAGTATTAGTATTAGTATTAGTATTTGTAATATTATTAGTATTAGTATTAGTATTAATATTCGTATTAGCATTAATATTATAAGTATTAGTATAAGTATTAGCATATTAACAGTAATATTAATTAACATTAGTATTAGTATCATTAATAGAGACAATATTAGGATTATCATTAGCATATTAGTATCAATATTAGCCTTAGTATTATATTTAGCATTAGCATAAGCATGTTAGTATTTTCATTAGCATTAACATTAAAATTAACATCCTTTTTTATTCATATAGCTATTAATATAAGTATTCGATTTACATCATCGATATTTTTTAATTCGTTGATTTAATTCATTTTGATCATAAAAATGATCCCGTGCATCGCACAGGTGAGATACTAATATATTATAAATAAAGGAAAAATTCATGTATATGACAAAATTATCCCAACCATTTACACTCAATTCTTAATTGTAACCGAAATTTAATAAATTTTGTCCACAAAAATCCAATTTTGACTTTTTTTCCAAAAACATTTTTTCCGCCGCCGGACTCCGGCATTGACTTCTTCTTCTTTTTTTCTTTTTTTCTTTTTTTTTCGCCACCGGATTCCAGCGTTAACTTTACTTAGTGTTTTTTTATGCCCCCCGCTAAACGTTGACCGTAATTGTGTTGTCATTAACGGCAATTATACTGTCACTGACAGTAAATTAACGTAATTATATTGTCACTGTACATTAACGTAATTGTACTGCCGTTGACAATACATTTATATATTTTTTTACTGCCGTTGACAGTACAATTAGAGTCAACGAAAATATTATTACTATTTTTTTTTTGTTAATTTTTTTTCAAATTTGTTTAATTTGTTGACAAGTCTACGTAATTATATTACTGTCGTTGACAGTAAAATAACTGTAAACACAATAATATTAGTGCCAACCACATCAATATTGTTGTTATTTTTTGGGTTTTTTTTGTTTTGTTTGAGTTATTCACGGAGTAACGTAATAATATTATGGGTAAATTACACACACCCCCCTGAGGTAAGCTTAAATAACTGTAAGGTCCCTGTGGTATCGATAATTACACTCAGCCCCCTGAAACGTAGTCAGAAACTCTAATGGGATAATGAATTGGATACGTTATTCCGATAGGGTTCTAACGGACTATTGGTTTCAGAAAGTGGTGGAGACAACAAAGAGCTATGGGTGATTTAAGAAATGTTCGGGAATGTTCGGGGAGCCATGTT